CACACACACACACACACACACACACACACACACACACACACACACACACACACACCCCCAGTTATGTCTGTTTGCTGTGAACTAACTAATCCTCTATCTATGCTGATCATAGTACACCCTAGATCATGTGCTATTACTGCCACCTTCCCTTTTTTTAATTCATTAATAGGATCTGATCATTGCTAGCAATAACACTAATTTTTGTCCACCCTTTGTCCTTTGGAAGGTATGGTGTTGGAACCTGTTGGAACTGCAGCAGTCTGTGTGTTGTAAGTGCACTCTAAGTGCTGTCAGATCAGAATTTCCAGGATATTATCCGGTGACAATGAGGTAGATGATAAGTGACTTGGAGGGAAATTTTCAGGTTGTAGTATTCGCGTGAGCCTGCTGCAATTGTTCTTCCAGGCTGTAGACACTGAGAGTTTGGAAGGTGCTATCACAGGAGTCTTGGTGAATGAATTACTGCAGTGTGTCTGGTGCATTGTACACACTGCAGCATTGTGTACTTTTGGAGATAATGAATTTTTTACATGGTGGATGGAGAACTGTCAAGCAGGCTATTTTTTTTTCCTGGATGATGTCAAGCTGCTTAAATGATGTTTGAGCTGTATTCAGTTAAGAACGTGAAGAGTATTCCATCATACACCTGATGTGTACCTTGTAGATGGTGAAATGGCTTTGCACTGTTGAGAGGTGAGTTACTCATTATGTGTTACCTAGTCTCTGACCTGCTTTTGTGGTCACAGTATTTACGGGACTGGTTCACTTATGTTTCAGGTCATAGTGGCCCTGGGAAATTGATGCTGGGACTCGGAGATGGTAATGCCATTGAATATTAAGATGAGATGGTTATCTGCTCCCTTATTAGAGATAGTATTCCTAGAACATTAAGTGGCATGCAACATTCATATGATATATAAACCTAAGACTGAATGTTGTGCAACACTTGCAGCTTTTCGTCATAGACTGCTTCGTTATCTGAGGAGTTATAACAGTCCATAATTATCAGTGAACGTCCATACTTCTGACCTTCTGTTGAAGGAAAGTTCACTGATGAAGCAGTTGAAAATAGTTAGACCTAGCATTTTGCTTGAGGAACTCCTGCAGTGAAACCCTGGAACAGAGATGAATATCTTGAACAACCATGGGTATCTTCCTTTATGCTACATTTGCGTCCATAGTAGCCCAAGCCAAACATAGACACACACGGGAATTCCTAGAGGCATGGCTCTCCACCCGTACTTAATCGACAAACATATAGAATTGGACCCCATATACAAACCCATACAAGTCAAAACTGGAAATGACAGTACTCCCCATAACAGGCCGGACAGTATAAATTTCAAGCGGAGTAGTTTAGCATTACTTCATCGAGGGCTCCACTGAAGATGTCACCTAGCATGGTGACAAAACGTCTGAACAAAAACAAGCCAGCTCGGTGAGCAAGTCAACAACCTCATCCACAAGCTGAGCTGCAGATCTTTGCCAAAACTTTAAACAACTATGGGGGTAACATGCTAAAAATTGCCAAACAGTGGGAAACCTTTGCCAACTGACTGAGCTGTACCCGAGAACAACTTCACTTCCTCCACGAATGCCTCAGGAACCAAGTACTGCCCCGCAGCATGAAATATAAACCTCCACTCAACAACCCACCGGCATATAAAATAGCTGAACAGAACGGACGCAGAATGCTACGAGCAATGATTAATGATGCCCATAAACGACTCCACAGGTACGAACGAGAAATCATGTGCCAAAAATCACAGTATCTAACCTCTATGGACCAGCAGTGGACTACAATCCTAGAACAAGCCATCACCATCAATCAACACAAAACCAAAACTAGGAGGAGACACAAGCTACAAGAGAAACTCACCAAACTGATCCCACCACAAAAACAAGGACAACTACAAACCAGACACATGGATAAGAAACCTATCTAACAGACAACTCACAGAAACTGAGAAAGCTGTCCTATTACGAGGACTGAACTATAAACACAAGGATGCGAACAGAACATGGCTGCTCTGGAGAATACATTAAAAGACAAACTCACAGACAAAACACAACAAGCTATCCAACAAACTATAATTCCCACATTACACAGAAGGAACAAAGGGGACAACCTGAACACAGCAGAGAGAAAAGCACTAGATAAACTCAAGAAAGGCAAGAACATCATAATCCTACCAGCAGACAAAGGGTGCATGACTGTCATTATGACCAAACCATACGATGCTTAGAAAGCACAGGCATTGCTTGCAGATACAATCACTTACCAACAGGTGGCGATGTTGTCCAAGGACCTGCAACAGCGATTGAAACATTCGGTAGACGGATCACCCCATTCTATTCACTCAACCCAAGATTTCCTCACTACCCTCAAGAACATAAAAATCAGCAACGACAAGATTATGGTTTCCTTTGACGTCACAGCTTTATTCATATCAATCGACATCCCACTAGCCAAAGAAACAGTGGCCACATTACTAGAGGAAGCAGCAACGCAGACTAGCAACTCCATCAACAAGGACAACACACTTAAATTGTTAGACCTGTGCCTCACTGCACACTTCGTCTTTAATGGTCAGATATACAAACAGATCAATGGTACACCAATGGGATCACCCATCTCAGGACTCATCACAGAAGCAGTCATGCAAAGACTAGAACACACCACCCTCCCCCGCATTCAACCTAAACTGTGGATCCGGTACGTAGATGACACATCATTTGTCATCATTACACGCAACAAATTAGAGACCCACCACCTCATCAACAGCACATTCACAGGGATTAAATTCACAAGGAAAAAAGAAAACAACACTCAATTTCCATTTTTGGATCTTAAAGTTGAGCGTAAGACCAACGGGGAGTTCCAAACGTCAGTCTACAGAAAAGCAACCCACACTGACCAAATCCTCAATTTCCACAGCACCCACCCCAATGTCCACAAACAAAGCTGCATTTGACACTATTTAAAAGAGCCAGGACACACTGCAACACTCCGGAACTACACAGGAAAGAGGAAGAACACTTGTACAAGATCCTCGCTTTAAACGGATATCTCTGCAACTTCATCCACAGATGCCTACAAAGCAGACAATAACAGGAGGACACAGTATGCCCTAACATACTGGCCACACTGCCCTACATCAAGAACATCGAAACTAACAATAAGACTCCTAACACCCCTAGGAATCATGGTGGCCCACAGGCCCACAAGCCCACAGCCACTCTACGACAAACACTCTCAAGGATTAAAGACCTCATTCCCACAACATGCAGAACGAACGTGGTTTACAAAATACCATGAAACTACTGCCACAAATATTATTTCATACAGACTGGAAGGAAACTAGCCATCAGAATACATGGACATCAGCTAGCTGGAGTAGTAACTGTTTGAGTTGACTTTGTGAAGCTTTTTTGTGAACAGGACATAGCTGGGTAGTTTTCCACATTGTCAGATATATGCTGCTATCTTTTGTAACTCTGCTATAACAGTGTGACTAGCCTTCGGGCACACATCTTCAGCGCTGTTGCCAGGCTTCATAGCGTTTGCTGTATATGTTGTGCTAATTTTATATAACCTGGAGTGAACTGAAATGACTAAACACTGGCATCTATAACGGGGGGACTCTCAGGAGTGTTGCTGAGATGAATTATCTGATCAGCAGTTTTGGTTGAAGATCATGTAAATATTTCATCCTTCCTTTTTGTACTCGTGTTGGGTTCCACCATTGTCAGGGTTTGGAATGTCCATGAAGTCTCCCCTTCTAATAAATTGGTTAATGTCCTTTAGCACTTGGACAACTTTAGTCATCAGTGTTGCCACTGAGCCACACCTGATGATTAACATTATATGTTTTCACCCAGAGTTTTTTTTTGTACCCTTAGTGCTTCTTTCAATTGATGTTCAACATAAAGATAAAGTCGCCAGAGGACCATAGCGTTGCTCTTTCATTGGTGGTTTAGCATGAGGGTCACCACATCTCAGGCGAGGGGAGAGGTTGAGAAAGAAAGCCCCATGTGGTAACATCAGCTGGTGTAGGTATTGAACCCATGTGTTAGCATCACAAACCTATATGCAGCCAAGTGTGTTAACCAACATAAAGGAGTACTGATTCATCAGTCAAGGGAGGGTGACAGGTAATAATGACCAGTTTTCCTTGCCTCATTTGACCTTCATGGGTTGGGGAGCCGATATTTGGGAATCCAGGGGCAACTTCACCCCAAATTGTATAAGACTATGATGTGAACTTTGCTGGGCCTTCCTTACTGCTGGGACACAAGATACCCATGGATGGTGATGAAGAAGTTCAGAGAGCATTCGTTGAAAAAAGCAATGTTTCTGAGACTAAGAATGTATTGACCTCTTTATTGACTAGTGTATGTGACAATTGCCCCAATTTTGGTACAAGTCCCCTGATGTTGGTGATCATGATGCAGGATCGTGTCTTTGTCATATCAGATGATTAGCTTGATGCCTAATGATCTCTAGTTAAATTCTTTAATGAACACTCTTGAATGGCTTGCTAGGCCATTTCTAAGTGCATCTAAGTGACAAACTCATTGCTGTGGGTCCAGAGTCCATGTAGACCAGGCTGAACAGAAGCAGCAGATTTTCATTCCTAAAAATCATTAGTGAACCAAATGGATTTTTATAACAATACAGTGGTTTCGTTGGATGCCTTTTAATTTTAGATTTATTTTATTAATTGAATTTAAATTACAAATTGCCTTGGGGGGAATCTGTCCCTGGGTCGTTTGAACAGACCACTAGATTACAACCCCAGTATGATGATCAGTCTATTGTTGAAACAAACAAAGAGAATGCTAGAGAAACTAAACAGGCCTAGCAGAAATGGAGAGAGAAAGAGTTAATGTTTTGAGTCTTGTATGACACTTGTTCAGAACTGAAAGGCATTACAAATTTTTAAAATACTTTTGACAGTGGCAGAGGCCCAGCACAAAACACAAAGGAGATGGTACAGAAAGAGATGTAAAATGAGTGTAAACATGGGTGTCTCTTATTGTTCCCATCACCTACCAAACTAAGACTGGATTTAATGCAGCCCATTTGCAGCGGGAAACAGGAAGCTGTGATTGGCCAAACACTAGTGTCCCAGCAGCAGGATAATCTCAGGTGGTGAGATGGAAATTAGCCTATGCCTTGATTGAAGGATCCAGAATTGGGCATGCAAGTAACTGCTGGAATCAACCCCTTTTCTTTGTCTGCACACCTCCCACAGTGACCCCTATCTCATGACCCTTGTCTCGCTCTCACTCATCTGTTACCTGGGTGTCCCCGGGTGAAATACTGGCAGCAGTCACAGGTCCTGATGTGGTTGGTAGTAATGGACAGCTGTAGGTCTCTAATCCACCAGTAGCTCTTGACAGATAGGATTTCCACCTCTGTGATCCTGAATCCTGGGAAACATCCAATGGTGGCTAGTGTCTGTCAAATCTGATCAATATACCCTCTCAAACTTGCTACAGATTTCTGACCAGTTTTCAAATTGTGGACTGAACTCACATCATTTACATTAAATTCATCACAGTCTTTCATGTTCACCTTATCAAAGTACTGCATATTTTAAAAAAAAATCTCCAGCCTTTGCTTCGGTGAAATTTATCTGTACCGGTATTAGCGTAGAGAATCTGTACTATACTACTTTATGCTTTTAATGCCCTTTCTAAAATGGGGTTCCCACCACAGTACTCTCGATTGCTTTGTAATCCCTGTCATTATGTACTTAAAACTTGATATACTACAAGATTCTCTGTATGGTGCTCACACTTTCTAGAAAACATGCGATTGGAATGCAGAGTCTCTTTGTTTCTCCACATCCTTTGATGATTTTACATTGATTATATATTTGCAGTCCTGTTTTTCTTTTCAAATGCACTGCCTCACAAATTTTCCTTTTTTTTTTCTCTGTCCATTCCCTTACCTGCATATTTCATTTTAAAGCCTTCTGCAGTACTTCATACTATTTGACATTCCAAATTTTGTTGCATCTTCATCTTATTTGGATATCACTATACCTACGACAAAATTTGCCATTTATATCAAGAGAAATATGGATTCAACTCTGGCATCTGAGATATAAAACTTGTACCAATTTGAGCAGCACTTACTTAATGTTCATGTTGCCTGCAAATCCAGTTAGTTTATGGTCTCTTCAGGCCAGCAGAAGAGACTGATGTGATAGCCCGATGGCATGATGGAATTTAGTTCTGGTAAGTAACCCAAGTTGTTTCCCTTTTAACAGTGGATATGCTCGAGAACTTTATAGTCGGTATGTCCGAAACCAGGACAGTTCAGTTGTAAACAAAATGCAACAAAGATACTGGAAGACGAAGCAAACATTCATTAAAGTGACTGGAAAGAAAGAAGATGAGCATGTTGTTGCATCAGATGCTGACCTTGACTCTAAATTAGAGGTAAAGTAGTGGATAATCTTATGTCTAAGTAATTCCATGGTGTGTGCATTTTGGTTTTTGTTTTTGTTTTTGCATTCACATTTAAGTTTGCGTTGATTTAATTGTTCCAATTTTCTTATTTATCAAAGTACTATTTTTACACTTAGTCATGTGTATATAGTACTTAGTGTTGTTCTAAAGAATGTTCCAAAGTTCTTAATAATGGTGGGAGATGGAAGAGAAGGTGCCATGTTGTAGAGGTACAAATGAAGAGTGGCAAAACACTCAGGCCAAATACAAATGTTTAAGTGTTTGCTCTTGATGGAAATGAAGTAGGTTTAGGAGGGAGTGTGACAGAATAGGACCAGAGGCAGCTGAAGTTTGTGTGACCAAGGAAAAGGGAAGGGTTGTAAATGAATCTGGAGCCAGGACTAGAAGATGTAGAGTGGGGATAGGAGGATGGAGAATTGAGATATAGCATGGAGTGGGGCTAAGCACTGGAAAGAGCCAATGGAGGTCATTCCAGTACAGTAAGGTAACTGAGTTATGGATTATTAACTACTGAGGCCTGAACTTTTGTTCCTGGGTTGAAATATTCCAGATTCCACAAACCCTATTTTGATTTCAGGAGCTGGGTAAGTTGGAGCTAAGAGTTTGGCTTTTCCTATGTGATTCATGCCTCATCCCTGTGGCATCAAAAATTTAATGTGTCTGAAGTGAGGATGAAGGCTCCACATCCAGGTACTAATACCATCATTTTTAAAGGTCAGTGGGAGCTCCCTGACTCCATGAAAATACACAATTCTTTTTAAAGACAGTATACTTTTGGCACTAAATCGTTTCCAGCCTAATATTTTTATGGCTTGCTGTTGTAAGAATTTTAACAACATAACATTTCAGTGAACCATGTTTGAACTAGATGGAATAAGTAACCCATTAGACAGCTATTCTCATGGTGATAAAATAATTATTTTTTAACCACATTATTGGGAAGAATTTGGAATTTTTTCAGATGCTTTTGATCTTGATTTATCAGATATTGCACAACTGTGTTTATAATTATTTAATTCTTTTGTCATACTTTTAGTTAGGTTCCTGTAACTTAAAGTTAGTGATCTGTTCCAGGAAGACGTTTTGGGCATTAATGGCTCAACAGTCAGATTCAAATGAGACTGAAGGATTGGCGGGTCAATGTCGCAGCTGCCTCTTCACGAATGGAACATTTGTCAGCTGGCACTTTCTGTTAGTCATCCACCCAAAAGTTAAAATCCATTCTGAATGCAGAATTTTCGAATAAATGCAGCTACTCCTCCAAGTATGCTCCAAAACTGTTCTTTGCTGTAAGCCAAAATTTGAAAGGCAGCTTTCTGTTTTAGAAGTGGTTTGACAGACTAAGACTAACCCATTAACCATTTTCAACCAGATCCAAAACCACTTGATAAATTGCAGTCGAGAGACAACTGGCACATTTGATTTCTGTCCAGGACCTAAAGCATTCAGCTCATGTCCTGAACATCCACAGGTGCAACATCAGGCTGATGCATGCTTCATAAGGAAATGGTTGCGTTCTGATAACAATGAAAAATTAAAATATATGCTGATTGCCAGTGAGTAATCAGTGGGAAGTATAAAGTTGAAAGGGAATTGTGTAGAGTAATAGGGAGGAGTAGTAAATAGTTGAAGGATGGAGAGTTTTTGGTCTGTGGTGGAGAGTAACCAAGAATTTGCTGAGATGGAAGTAAGTAATCATGAAGATCATAATTAATAATTTGAGCTAGGATAGTGGGAGTAGTTGTAATGAGTATTGAGGGAGCCATGTAACATGTATTGTGTGGCCGCGGACTTGAAATGGGTAATGAGAAAAGTAGAGAGGCAGTAAGTGGTTTTGTGAGTGCAGCTTCAGTGAAGTTAGAAGGAAAAGTAATGGTTAGTTTGGATCCTTCACCAACTAACAAAATAATTTATTTCTGATTTGACAGTGAAGTTTTGTTACTTGGAAATGGTTTTGTTAACAAGCAGTGAATTGAATTTGAGGCAATTTTTAATAAGCCGTGTTTAAATGCAATATTTCCTGACTTCTTTATTACATTGTGCAAAATCAAAGGGTAGTATTAAACATTTGTTTGTAACTGAAAGATTGAACCTTATCAAGAATTGCAGTTAAAGTTTCAACAGAAATTTCATTGGTAACATTTGAAAGTATATTTACATTTAAGTTAAAATGAATTGGTTCAATTTGATGAAAATATTCATTAAATACTGAGACTCCACTGCAAACTTTCTAATTGCTGGTGAAGGATAATGAACTGAGATCTGCACTGGTTTAGAGACTAGTAATCTGAATCCTGTCACATGGTAAAGAAAGCACGAGGTGTGGTGCAGTAAGTGGGTAACATGGATATCTGGTGGAAATGAGCAACATAAATGTTAGGAGTAGGATAGGAATAGCTTGAGTTTTTTTTTTTTTTTGCTGTCAAAATAATTGGATGAGGTAAGTAGTGATGAGGAAATACCAAAAAGGAAAGGCTAAAAGTTAGAAAGAAAGAAGTTGGGATGGAAATAAAATTTATACCATAGCCTTAATGGTGGGATGACTCAGTAAGACATATTCTATATATAGCATGAAGTTGCTATTCTAGAATTTTGATAGATGAATACAAGTTTAATGCTAATTTGAAAATGTCTTCTGTCAATCGTAAAATTAATACAAACAGGCATTGTTTTAATTGTTATCAGTTGTCACACTAAGAATATGTGATATAGGAAATGCATATTATAGCATAACATATTTTACAAATCATTTTCATAGTAAGAACGAGATCTTGTAAGAACAGTGACGCTCTGCCAAGTAACACAAGTAGTCAACTTTTGAGAGGTTTACATAAGAACAAATCATGAAAAGCTTGGTCTACATGATGAGTTGCAATTTGTGGACATACATTTAAGATTATCAGCAAAAGAATTGTTGTGATCCAAGCTGATGTTACTACTGGATAAATCAGTTCCAAGAATGAAACCCAGCTTGATAGATCATATGTAGAGAACTATATATAATACTTCATTTGTATTTTGAGTTCAGCATCACCTCCTTGCTCTTATACAAAATGTCCCTATTAATAAAGTTGAGGACGCTGTATGCTTTATTAACTACCTTCTCCAACTGTCTTGCCACGTTCAATGATTTAGAATTAGAATTTGGTTTTTTTGTCACTTACTGACAGTTCTGAAACCATCTTAGGTACAAAGGTGCCTAGGTACAAAATCTTAGGTATAAAATAGAAAAATAAAGTTAGAAGTTCAGCATCACAGTCCATCTAAAGCAAAGAAAGAGAAAAAAATAGGCAGATGGCATTGACAAGTTCGCACTGGGCTTCACCTCAGAGCCATTAAGACTATTTGTGCACATATACACCCACAGCCCTCTATTCCTGTACTCACCTTGGAATTGTGTCCCTTATATAATGAAAGCAAAATATTGCAGATTTTGGAAATATGAAGTAAAAACACAAATTGCTGGAGAAACTCTGCAGGTGTAGCAGCATCTGTGGAGAAAGAAATAGTTAATAATTGTCGCTTGATTTAATTCTTCTTATGGACTGAAAAGAGTCTGAAAATTGAAGTTTTAATGCTGTATACCAAGTGTGAGAAAGCATAAGTGAAACATACTGTGAAGGTCCCTAGAACAAAAGGCAAAGGGAGTGTTAGTGGTAGTGATAGAGGTGTTAAAAGTATGTAAATAATAGGAGTGGAAAAGAGAAAATGGGTGAACCCTGCTGAGAATCAAGTCATTAAAGAAACAGCTGAAGTGTGTGGGGTGAAGCAGGGAGGGTGATGTAAGAGAAGTAGAGGACAGAGGTCATGCTCTGAAGTTGTACAACTCAGTTGTAGAATGGAATACTGAAGGTTGTGAGGAGATATAGTCAAGGTAACTGGGAGTTGGTGGATTTGTGGTGGATATTGGTGGACAGGCTATCCCCAGAAATCAAAGGTCAAAGAAGGAAGGGAAGGAAGGGGTTGGAGATGCACCAGGTAAAGGTGAGAGAAGAATGGGAATAGGAAGAAAAACTGAATAGTTATTCCTGACAAGAGGAAGAAACGTCAGCGATGTGTCAGAAGAAGTTGTTGAGGTAGCATTGGAATAAGTAATGTTCCACATACCCCACAAAGAGAAAAAATATAATCTGGGATCCATGTAGTTACTCATAGCCAGACCTTTGACCTGGAGAAAGTGAGGCATGTTAAAACAAAAATTGTTCAAAGTGAGAAAGAGCCCAGCCATGTGAAGGAGGGTGGTGGTGGATGGGAACTGATCAGGCCTCTTTTCAATGAATTTTATTTTTGATTAGCAGGATAGTCATTACAGAAACATGGTCACCAGGCCGCAGAGTTTCTTAAATATCCGAATGAAACTATTTTACACAAAAGATGAAACCAAAGCAAACCAAGCTGTCTAGAAAATAAACACAGTTTAGAAATATCTGAAAATATCTAGTTAGTTTCTGTCCTATGAACTGTGGAGTATTTTTGCTTAAATACTCAAAATTCAAAGCGTAGACTTTCTCAGTTTCCAATAGCTTGCAGGTTTCTGACCAAAAACACTTCTGTCTGGGAGTTGCACAAGTTGTATTTTTCTACTGAAGTAACTTATTGATTTTACTGCACTGAAAAGCACCTCAGACAGAATTTACTTCCTTCTGGTCCCAGTCAGGCTTCTTTCAAACTGCCCTAAAACCACCAGTCTCCAGGCCAAAGATTAGCCTTTCATTGTTTTGAACTGCGGATAAACTAGTGGCTTTTATGGTTTCACTCACCTGTTGTAAACAACCTCAGGATAAATAATTTTTCGTTGATACGCAATGGGCTTTCCTGCTTTCTGTTGCATATTTAGATTTAGTTTCTGATCTGGAATGTCTGTCTGATCGAGATGTTTTCAAAACCCTTCACAGAAGTAATATATATAAATCATGAATGCTTCATCACAGAAGCTGGAAGTTTTTTTTCAAATAAATGTAGGTGGTTAT